GGGCTGCCCGCCTTCCCCTCTACCCACCTGGTGGGGGGAGGTCAAATTTCATCTTGCGCAGTTCGGTCATCGACACCTGCAGTTGTTCGATGACAGCATCATCCTCATACTGGAGGGAAGTGGCAATTTTCTCCTGCAGAAATTCCCGTAAATCTTCTAGCATCATCTTCAGCAGGCGCTCTGGGGACGGTAGAAAGGGGTAATGGCAGCAGCATGGCCAAATTGCAGGGTAGCACGAGAGTGGGTTTCATTGCTTTGGTTTTATCTGGGGTTCTGCTGCTGTTCCCACTCTGGGATGGGATACCCCAAATGTTTTTGCCTCTCTCCCACCTTCCCACTGTTGTTCACAATTGTCGATACATTTATATATCCGTGCCACCTCTGGGCAATAGCTCAGCAATGGCTGGATGATGGTGGGGCTGGGACCTATGCTGACCAGGATGCACATTTTGGGCAATTCCTGGAAGTTCTCACCAATGCCTCTAGGAGGAGGAAAAGCTCCGTGAGACAGACCCCAAGCGTCAGACTGAACAGCCACTGCTGGCAGCCACCACCACCAGCCAGGGATGCCAGCCTGCACCAGCCAGCAGGAAGGGATGCAGGCAGGGATGCTGATCCATGCCAGGGACACAGGCAAGGAACAGGATGCAGGCAAGGATTCCTCAGGAAGGAGAGGTTATTTCACAGCCAGGCTGAAACTCTGCCTGCCTCCCAGCTTCCCAGTCTTTGCAAACAAATGGGATACCTGAAGATGTATTTCTGGACAGCCTGTTCTTCGTTCAACTGAAGGAAGAGCAGGGTGGCTCTTTGCAGAACCCAACACATGCAGTCCAATAAATCTCACTGGCCCAAAGGCTCCCAGCATGTAGTATCAACACTGCTCCTGTCCCAGATTAAAGACTTAGCAGGGTGATGGAGCAAGGCTGCTAGCTTATGGGAGCAGAGGGGTTCAAAGTCCCAAAGATCTCAAAGTACAAACATCACTGCCTTAACGTTATGTGAGAAAACCAGCTTCTGGTCATTTTAGAAGTATAGGAATGGATTTATTTCTCCCTCTACAACCTTTTCAGCTGAACCACCACATAGAGCTTTGCAGACAGATAGGCTGCTGCCTGTATTGCTCCTAAAAGCAGGCTGATCAAAGATGTGGGGCACAACACACAGAAAGAAGGAGCTGGGAGTGTTTCAGGCTTAGCACAGGATTTTAACCCTTGTGGCATCTCATTTCCTCCCCAGAGCAGCAGCACAGGACTGTGCCTTTTGGGGCCAGCACAGGGCACTGAGCAGGCTGGCAGTAGACCTCAAAACTTTCTGGGTCAGCAGCAAGCACGGTGCCACCTCTGCCATATGAGAACGCACTCTGCTGGGACCTTACTTTTGTGCAGTTTGAGGATGGTGTAAGCCATGGCCGTCAGCACCCGCTCTCCTTCCAGGATGTAGATATCCCACAGCCGCAAGGTGAGGGTGAAGGGGGTCTGTTTCAAGCACACAAACAAAAACCCAGCTTGTTAGCACCACACTCAAAAGCACTAATTGATGGGCTGATGACAGAGAGGTTGGTGGCATCACCACGCCCCCTCGCACCAAAACACACAGCAGGGTGAGACGTCCAGGATTCATCTGCAGCACAAAAACCTAATTTATTGACTATGGTTTTGCCTTAAAGCTAACACCCTCGGGTGGCCAGGAAAGTACTTAAAATCCAGCTGCAAATCCAGAAAAAGGAGGAGCTTCCCACACAGGCACACTAGCAGTGGATTCACCTGCCCTGGAGGGAACATCATCATCTTTCAGCCTTTCAAGCGTACAAAACCACTCCTGTACCCATTCAAACAGACGAGGGCTATTTATGGGATAGGTCTGAAGGCCCAATGGTGCTTCACTAAGCATTATAAAATCACTCCTTCGGAGTCTAGAGAAGTGGTTTTTCTTATACACAGGCTCTGCAAGAGGTTTTTATTTGCACCCTGGCCCAATCTGATCAACGGGAATGAACGGATATCCAACATGATGGAGCAGCCCATCACCACCCAGCAAGCACAGAAATTAATACCGGTCCTACTATGACATTTAAGTTCACATTTAGGACGCTGCCCTTACTCTCCAGAATTTTTCATGATTGGCTGGCCACTGCAGCTCTTTTACCGCATTAAAGTGCAGTTAAAGGGATTCTGCATTTTATACAGCTTTTAGTATCAGACTGCAAGGCAGTGAATCCCCCTCTCAAGGGGAAGATGTCATCTGCTGCTTTACAGAAGATGGGGCAGCAGAAAATTGAGATAAGATCTTGTGTTCCAGTGTGCAAGCACAACACTGCCCCAAAAAGTAAAGTAGTCTTGGCCCAGGAGTGGCAAATTAGCTCTAGACAAATCAGGGTAATTTTCTTGCACTTTGACGTGTCTCCAGTGCCCAGCTCGCTCCCTTGCCTGCAGCTGCCGCAGTGCTACTCGTTAATGTTTGTGCCTCCAGCTCTTCTTCTCCCTACGTTGTTTCCAGAGCCAAAGTGAGGTTAATTGCCTTTGCAGCAGTGCCAATGGGCAAGGGAAAGATCTCTCACAGCTTCCAAGCTTACATTGCTGCTGCTGAGCCATCTCCCAGTGACTGCTTGTGATGAGGCAGCAGGGATTGGCTTACCTGCATTGGCAGTGTCATTTTTAGCTTCCCCCTTTTTGCCTTATGAGAATGTGCATAATATTCCACCTCACAAAATATTAACACTGCCTTCAAATTATGATGCTTAAGGAAAAAAAAAAACAGGTAGATTAACTGTGCATGCAAGTGGCAGAGCAGCAAACAACCCGCAGAGCATGCTCACCCGGTCAATGAAACACTGCAGGAACCACTTGGTCGTGTAAATCCCTGTAGTCATCTGCTCCTTGTCCTAGGAAGAGACAGCAAAAAGAGACAGCCGTTTCACCACGCTGGCTGCTGGAGGTTCAAGCAACTCACAGGGCTTTTGGAGAGGTTCGTTAATTGGGTTATTAATGCTGGGGTCTGGGTGCAGGATCTGGCTGCAGTTTGTCTCCCAACAAAGTCCCTGCTTTAAGTGCAACATCAGTTGAAGCCCTGCTTTGGCCCTTTGTCCAAGGTATTCATTGAACCTGACCTTCAATGTGGCCAGACTTCAGCCACAACTTTGCAAATTAATTTATAGGAGAAGCTTTTAGGCCTAATACCTACTCCAGGGATTTACAGAAATCTTCCAGGAACCCAAAGCATGCACTCCTTGTAGGCTACCATTTTTGTTTCCACACCGATTCCCATGCATGCCTCTTGGAGCACTGCAGCAAACACTAATTAGCCCCAATTACCCACAGGCAAATCCAGTCCTGCACAATCAAGCCAGCTTTGCTAGCACTACCTCATTTGCACAGCATGGCTGCTGCAGGAGTAGGATGGCCTGGCAGGCTAAAGAAAACTTAAAACTCTCGCCAGCATCTACCCCAGTCTGTCACTTGTCCATCTCTGGCACCTGGCGCAGCGCTCACACACAGCTTTGCTTTTTCTGGCACGGCTGATGCTGGGATGCACAGCACCCTGCACGTGCTTAAAATCTGCTCATGGTGAGTTTGGAAGCTCTGCAGCTTTGCGAACCCAGGTTGATGTGACTGCTGCTGCCAAGCCCGCAAAGGGGTGGGGATGCGAGGAGAAAGGAGCCCATGGGATTAATGGCTGGCTCTGGTCATTGCTTTTGGCACCTGCAGGCCTGAGGAGCTTTTGGGAGGCATGAGCAGTTTGCAGACAGGTATTCCCACGTTTCCCTAACCCCATGGCTATAATTAAGTGAAAACCTGTCCTCACTCTATTTCACTTATACGGTCAGGGCCGGCTCATCTGCAGCATAAAAAAAGAGCTGTTGCACATGATGGCAATATAAACATTTTCCTGGAGCCGGGCCATCGAGCCCCTTGGGAGAATAAGAAATCTTCAGGTGTCTGGCCACAGAAAACCAAATTTTGGCTTGTGTACTGCAAATGCTACTCCAGCCACTGAATGGGCTTGTACCATCTGCTAGAGAGAAAAACAACTGGACATGCCCAAGCAACAAAACACACAGCAAATCTCACATGCCTCCTGTGAAATCTTCAGGTGTCTGGTCACAGAAAACCAAATTTTGGCTTGTGTACTGCAAATGCTACTCCAGCCACCGAATGGGCTTGTACTGCTAGAGAGAAAAACAACTGGACATGACCAAGCAACAAAACACACAGCAAATCTCACACGCCTCCTGTCTTTAAACAGCAAAGCCACTAAATGCAGGTACTTGGGGCTAATAATTATTGAATTAAGACTCCAGAGAGTCCAGCATCACCCTCTGGGCTTTGCAGCTGGTGTAAGAAAACAGCCCAGCCTCCCTGTTGATGCAACTCCTTTTGTTGCAGGCACTGTGAGCCTTCCTGCCTGGCTTTCCTAAGGAAGCCTTCAGATTTTAGCAGTCCCTACAATAATGACCAGCTAGCAAGTGATAACCATTCACCTCAGCAAGATTCAGGCACACCATTCAAGAAACACTTGTCTCTTTGCAGCTGAAGCAGTCTTACACGGTTAGAAATCTATGTTCAGTTGTGCATCTATTTGGCAGAACATCACACTAACTGCTTTAGCATTAAAACGCAGTATTAGTATGGGGAGACCGATAGCAAAGAGATACCATGTGCTTCTTCAGTTTGGGAAACAGTTTGCTTAAAATCTGCTCGTGGTGAGCTTGAAATCTCTGCAGCTTCGGGAACCCGGGAATGAAAAAACCTTAACAAGAAAAAGTGAGAGAAACAAAAATTAATCAAAAAAGCTCTGGAGCAGTCACAAGGGCAGTCTGATTTTCTGGAAACTGATCCCCTGCAGTGCCTGTTGAAGTCGGCTAGAGCACAGTCTGCTCAGCTACCCCCCTGGTATCCCTCCCAGAGCCCACCCTTCACCCCATCCACGTGGGTGACAGCACCCTCAGCACCAATCCCAGCCGGTCCCTCTCAGCCCAGCCCTGCAGAGCAGACCTGCTCACCTCCCCACCGCCCACCGGCCCGAGACTTGGCTTGGCCAAGACCTCTCTGAACACATCTTGGTGCTTGCAAAGCTTCGAAGGAAAGCTGAAGATGTTTGAACACCACAAGGTTGTGCAGCGCCCTGTAACCTAGGAGTACATGTGTTTAAGACTGTCCGGAGTTATCAAGCCACAAGGCTTAGCTCTCTGCTCATAAAATAATGCTCCATGCATAGATTAGTGCTAACCACAAGATGAAAGGATCTTTAATGTACTGGAAGTAAAATAATACAACACATTTGGTGGGATTACATCTTCATTAAAAACACAAGGGCACATAGCTCATGGCATGCTAAAAACAGAGCATTACATTATGCTCTTGGATGTACTTCTTTGAGACTTCTTAAAAACTCGTAACCTTGAGTTAATTCATTGCCAAGGATAAGACACTCCAGAGGGAGGACAGCACCTCTGTGAAGGTGCTAATTACCAGGTGTTAAAGCTCAGTGCTGATAAACCACATTTTTCTCTGATGAACTTGTCTACCTCCAAGAGTGAAGAACAGCTCCATAATCAGGTCACGTTGGCACATAATTAAGCCTTACTTGCTTTAAACAAGTACGTGATGAGAAATGAGGTTCTAGTGATGATTTTAAACAGCCCTTCCTCCCATTGCAAGAGCTCCCATCCACATCCCACCCGAGCCTTACCATGCATGGCATGCCGCTGGTTGGTCAGCAGCTGTGCCAGTGCCCAGAACGCATCCTCTTCGTTTAAGTACATCAGGAGGATGGCTGCGATCTGGCTCATCCCTTGGCAGTAGCTCACTTCCTGTAAGAACCAAGAGGGGCACACGTGCTGCCATGCTGTCAGACATGCCAAGAAGCTAAAGCTGCAGAAGCAGGTTAGGCTGCCTGTGCCTCCCTCTCCTCTTTCAACGTCTGTACCATTTCAAGGTCTTTATTGTTTGTGCCCAAATTCACAGTTCTCATATGTCTACAGCCTCTACGACGTCAGTAATTCACAGAGTGGTTTGGGTTGGAAGGGATCATCTTGTCCAACCCCTCTGATGTGGGCAGAGGTATCTTTCACTAGATCAGACTGCTCAAAGCCCCATCCAACCTGATCTTGAACACTCCCAATGATGGGGCATGCACAGCTTCTCTGGGCAGCCTGTTCCAGTCTCACCCCATCCTCACTGTAAAAACTGTCTTTTTTATGTCCAATCTAAACTCACCTTCTTTCAGTTTAAAACTGTTGCCCCTTGTCCTGTTTCTATGGGCCCTGGTAAAGGTCTGTCTTTCTTATAAGCCCTCTTTATATATCGAAAGGCCACAATAGGGTCTCCCCAGATTTTTCTCTTCTCCAGGCTCAACATACCCAACTCTCAGCCTTTCTATATAGGAGAGCTGTTTCATCCCTCTGACCACTTTCGTGGCCCTCCTCCAGACTTGCTCTAGCAGGATCTCCAGCAGGAGGTGAGGGGCTTACAGGCAATGCTTCTCCCGCATGCTGCTTCCCCTACCAGCTCTGCTCAAGCCTGGACGCCAAGGGACAGAAACCTCAACAGAAGAGATGCCTGCAGCTACTTCAAGGAATAGGGGATGGGACAATAAACAGCATGTGGCTCCAATACTGTCTTGGAATCCTTCAGCCATGTGAGCACTGAAGTAATTAAACAATAAATAAATATAGTAAGCATTTATCTGGTATGAGGGAAGGCAGAGTCATTGTTTCCTTGACTACCCACCCTGAGCACCTTCTGTGCCTTCTGGGGCAATTGTCTCCTCCTGTAGATGGAGGCAGCATAGGTTCAGCTGCTAATTTAGGCTTATTCTGCCCATGTCCTTCAGCTAAAAACAACCGGGTTGCTTTAATAAATCAGTCTTTTCAACACGGATGCCATTCAGTGTATGACAAGAAGTCAGAAACATGACAGACCTTCCGCCAGGACACCAGTCTTGCTGAAAAGACAAAGGGCAATCCCTCGTTCTTTGCTGACACTTGCCCAGACTGCATCTGCCAGATGTCATTTTCCAGGTGACAAAATGAGCAAGGGAATGAAACAACTGTGCAAAGAGTCTTGTTCTGCCTGAGAGTCTTGCAGCTTTCCATACAAACCAGTATTAGCACTTACAATTGGAATTACCACTGGCTAAATGTGGGGGTGTGTGTATACATATATATAAACAAAAACATACATGTATACACATATATAAATATATATAAAGTTATATATATACAACTTGTTGTATATATAACAAAGTTATATATATAATAAAGTTGTATATATATAATAAAGTTATATATATACAGCTTTGTATATACACACACACACACGTAAAGCACAATGCTATTCACTTTAACTAGACTAACTTACTACTTACAGTGTTATAAACCGAGTATGCTGACAGGACGTGGAAGAGTGCCTGCTGCCTGGGGAGAAAGAAGGATATTAAAACAACTGAGCGTGAGGTCTCCTGCTTTGTGTGCACACCAGAGAGCAAAGGTTCTGAAAACACCTAGACAGCTGATACCTATGCCTTTTGCAAGGAGGAGGGCTCACAGAACCAGAAAGCACCTTGATGGGCACATGGGATGGGACCTCTTCCTTCAGAGTGGTCCACAGAGCAGGGCTGAGCCAGCCTGCTCCATCAGCAGGTCTCCTGGAGAGACACGCATGTACCCAGCTGCTCTTCAGGTTTGGAGTGGTGGTGGGTTTTTAATAGACTTGCAATCACCCAGGCATGAAGTGTTAAACACCGTGGGGAAAGCACTGCCACCATTTTATTAGTAGGTTCCTTTCTCCCTTCCCTCCTTGCCAAAGGAGTCGCCACCATACAGATACGCAGTGCAGGCTTCCTTGCAGACTGTGTGTCTGTGTAGGGCAGCCAGGTGTGACTCATCCCAGTGACAAAGCCGCTTTGTCAAACTTCTTCAACCCCATCTGCTGTGGAGGCCACGTACACCCTATCCCACCCAGCTCCTGACAGACCCACCCCGTCATCCCAGCCACTCCAGAACAAGCCCTCTGCAATTGCAACCCTAGCACTGTAGGGACAAGGCACTGCAACAGGCTGATGCTCGGCTCAAGAACTAGGGCTGAATGAGGTCCAGTGTGGACCTGTTCGAAGAGAGAATCGGCAGCTCAACGTCTGTGGGTCAGACCACGTGCTGATGGTTTGTGGAGCAGAGGTGGCTTTGCTCTCCTATGAGCTGCTCTGAAACAAGGTGGTGCTGGACACCATATCCATCTTATCCCACCCACACCCAACAGCACGAATGCCCATGCAGCCACTCACAGTGCCCCATACTCACTTCACTCCGTAGCGATCCCGAAACATGATGTGGTTTCGGAAGGTGCGGTTAACATCCAAGTCTATCTGCTTGATCTCCACTGAAAAGCTCTTTGCTTGTTCTTTCATTTGCTAGCCAAGAGAGGGGCAGACAAGAGGAAGGAGTCAGGTACCATCTCAGCCCGCACCTCTCTCCACAGTGAGAAGGCGTGCTTCCTGCAACAGGACTGACAGTTTGTGAGCTGGACAGAGCTATCACAGAGTGACCTGGGGACATGATGTCTTGCAGTGAGCAACGATCTGCAGCCCAGAGGTAAATCCCCATCCCCTCGGCTGCACTGCTGGCCCAGGGAGAATGAGAGGACCCCACGTCACATACTACAACAGCTGCCCACTCAGCCTTCGCCTATCTAATGCAGATATCAAGGTTTCAGAACCTAAACCAAATTTACAATTAAATTCCACTCCGATTTCTTTTGATTTCTTTGCGGTACGCGGCCGAGCTGTCATAAAGAATCGAGACCTCTGCTGGCGCTTAAGGAACGATACACTTCTATAACCAACACACGGATGTAAGCACCAACTCTGTGTTTTTCAGAGGCTCAGTTATAATAAAGTCCAAACTGTTATGATGGGCTCTGTGAAGTGATCTCCAACTACTACTTCTCCTGCAGAAATTAATAATCTTAGGTTTAGGGAATTTCCACTACAAAAGCAATTCTAGGGTTTTCCCTTGGACTGGTACAAATTTCAAGGAACTGGCAGAGTCCAGAACAGAAGCTAAACTCAAATCCCCATATTCCCCCCATGCTGGCTAATCATTTAAGGCAGCATCACACAGATAAAGGACTGAAGTCCACTGCAAAAAAAGACCACTGAATCACTTGCACCTTGAGTGTCCCAAGCTCAAGATACTCCATAGGGGAATCCCACCGCAGTCCCATTAGTAACCCACTGTTCAGCCCTCTGCATGCAGGCAAGGACCATTATGCTATAACCAAACAGCTCATCTCACAGCCTTTAGATACCACCAGTGATCATGCAATTGTCCTCCTCCTTTAATATCTCCAGGATTAATAGCACTAATAACATTCATTTTGCGACTGTCTTCAGGCAGCTTGAGAACCACCAAGAGGTTATGGGCAGTGGAGATGAGCAGCAAGCCCAGCTTGCCTGGAGCCCGGGATCAGGACATCTCCTTGCTCACACAGGAGACAGAAAATAGCACATCTGCACAGATAGTTAATCATTTGCTCCAGCAGCTGCAATCCTACAAATGCCTGTCAGCCTGATACAAGGCGCCTCTAGGCTGCTGTTGACCTCCCTAGGTGGCCACATCAGCTCTGGGAAACATCAAACAGTCATTAGCACCCAGATGTGTCCAGTAGAGCCAACGCTCTGGGCAGTCACAGCATCTCAGGAATATTAACTCCAACCTTGAAAGCAGCTGTAAGGAGGAGGAACAGTGCAGGGGCTATTTTGAATTACAACCTGCAAAAGATGAGGGAGGATAAAAGTGATGACAGACCAAAGATGTGATGAACAACATTTCCCTGCTGTAAATCCTGTGCTCTCTATATCCTATGGCTTCCTGTCTTCTGTAAAGCAGGCAGACTACCTGAGACAAGATGACTATTCATATGCACCGGGTTACTTCAGTTCAAATGTCCCTGCTAAAGGCCCTCTTGTTTTCCCTGCCAGAACAACACAGAAAGCTCCCCAAGGCTGTAAAAACTACTACTTTGGTTTTTTTTTAAATCACTGCACCTGAATAGCAGGTAGGTTCAAAAGCACTTTGTCACCCTCATGGATCCAGGAGGCTTTATTAATCCTGCAGACAGTAAACAAGAAGCCCAGTATGAGTTGTCTGCTTTTTTCCCTTGTTTAAGTAACCTGGGGCTCCACAGTTGCTCTATTGAGCTCATTAGCACTGCGAGCCCTGCAAGCCAATGGCAGAACAGAGGCTGGGAAGCTGATGGTCCCATCCCAGAGACGTTTTACAAAGTAGCAGGTAAAAGCCAGGATGCTTCTGCTCTGCCCCATGGCCAGCATGTTTCTCCTGCTGCCTTCTTGGCTCCCCTTAAGTCCTCTTGGTTGTGGCTATAAAACCCCAGGGAGGCAGAGCACACCCACACTGAAACCAAATGTGGCACGTCCCACACCACATCCTTCTTCCAGGCTCCTGCAGCATCAGGGACAACTGAGCTGCCATGGCCTTGAGGAAGACTCAAGAGACTTGCATGGAGAAGACTTGGAGGACAGCTGGGCTAAGATAAAGCGCTGCTGAAGCAACCAGACCAAGCTTTTACATTGCATCACTTCAGAGGCAACACAGAAACAGGGAGGAAGGTAGCCCACTTGGCTGGTAAAGTAGCTCCTCCACCAGCCCAAGCACAGAGGACATCTCTACAGAGAGAGCAGTGGGTATAAAAAAAAAAGACAATCACCTGGCACGTACCAGGTGGCACGCTCAGAACTCAAGGCACGTGCAAAAGTCACACTTTTGTGCCATGGTTCATGCCCCAAGGCGATGCAGGGTACAGGACACAGGGCTGGGGCTTGGTCCCTTCTTGAAAGCAAAACCCTTCATCCAGGACCTGCACTGAGCCTCTTCTGGAAGAAATTAGGGGAGAGCAAATGTCTGGTGGCAGGTGGCACCAAAGAAGAGGAGGATTAAGATGAGCTTGTAGAGGGTTTTCATCCAGAAAAGCCTATTAGTCCTGAAGCCCCTCTTTATCACAGACCCCTCTAGAGCACAGATAAACTCCTTGCTACTTTCATTTGTTTGGATTTGCTGTGCAGCATAGCTTTGACGAAAAGAGCACGATAAGAATCTATGTGCTGGGAGAGCTTACTGCCATGAGCCCCGCTTGCCTTCCCCAAGCCCCTGCATGGGACTCCATCCCAGCAGCATCTTGCTGTTAACAACTACACTTGACTAACTATAATGAGCACTAGCATCATAACTTGGGGAATGACCTATTAGAGAGCAG